ATACTTCGTAGGGTAATTTGGATATCTCCGCGACAAACGCTCCGTTGATGATGTACTGGCAGCCATGGTTCAGGTCAGTGGGAGTAATAATTCAATGGGCCAGTTAGTCTTCGTGAAGGTATGAGATATGGCACAACGGGAGCGTTGTCAACAAGGATAAATATATTTATTTCCCAACAGTTTCGGGAGGGGTCCTCCCTTCATCAGGGGATGAGTTATACTGACATGAGCTTCCAAACTTCGTTGCTGCCGCGTCCCTCTCCCTTGAAAAATGTTTGCGTGCTCTCTCAGCCGTGAACAATGTTAAAAACGGGAAAGATGGTTTTCTTGCCCAGCACTGCACTGAGTGCAAGTGTGTTCCCCTCTTCGAGGAAACAGCGACGTTGTACAAACACAGAGATGTAAGCACCCAGGTCATTGTCAAGGCTGCGCAGATGGCACGCGAACAGGTGTCTTGTGTTAGCAAGCCCTCCGTGGCTTTGTCCGAGAAGGAACGCAGGTTCCTCGAAGGATTCGGTGCGGGCAGGTAACGCGAACAGGTGCCTTGTATTAGCAAGCCCTCCGTGGCTTTGTCCGAGAAAGAACGCAGGTTTCTCGAAGGATTCGGTGCGGGCAGGTAGCTTTACCTTTCTGTTTCGGTTTCTTCTAAGTTTTTTCTTTGCTGTTTTTCAGTGCCTTTGTATTTGTGTTGTTTGTTTTTGGTTTTCTTACTCATGTTCTGCTCTTGTGCCATATGGTTTTTATCACATGGTCACTGTCTCTTCTATATATTTTCGTGCTCTGCGCAATAAACTCAGTTGGAAGTTAGCGCTCGTGTCTTTCGTGTCCTTCTTGTCTCTGTGTCGTCGTTTTGTTCTCGCGCTATAACTATCGTCATGACATTCAGGAGTTAAGAGGAGAGTGCGAGATAATTATACTAGGAGATATGAATGCGCACATAGAAGATATAGATGGGTATACCAACCCGACAGGCAAAATGATCATGGATATGTGTGAAATGCTTGATTTGATCATTTGCAAACAGTACCGAGAAGTGTGAAGGGCAAAAAACATGGGAGAAAGGAAGGCTGCAGTCGACGATAGATTACGCACTGATGTCACATAGGATGTATGATAAGCTCAGGGAAGTGCACATAGATGAAGGTGGCTCCAGAAGTCTAGGTAGTGATCACAAACGAATCAAGCTAAGTTTTGGAAGAGCAGTTAAAGTGGGAAGGAGACACGATGAGCAACTAATAGAAAATTTTTATTCAGAAATGCGAATTGAAATATCCACTAAATAAATTGAGAAAGTAATCACTAAGGATAATGAAACAGTGGGGACATACATGAATCTAATTAGACTGAGCTAGAGCTTGCTAAAGCACGTGACAAGTCACCCCGGAAAAGATGACACAAATCCAAAAGTTGGTGGGATGAGGAAATTAAGAGAGCCATAGCAAATCGTTAGGAAGCCTCTAGGGAACACAGACATGCTAAGCAACGGGGCGAACCGACAGATGATGTTGAAAGAAAATGGGACATCTTTCTGAGCGGTAGAAGGGAAGCATCCCTTCTGATCAATGAAAAGATTAGAAGAAAGGGAGCTCAGTGGCTGGCAGAAGTACATAAAAAAGATAGAAAGGCAGCTGCGAAATTTTGGAAGCATGTAAACTCCCTAATGATGAGCAGCGATGGCGTAGTGGTTAGAGCATCCACCTCGCATGGAAAAGGTCCGTGGTTCAAATCCCGGTGCCGCGCAGCTCCCAACCGGATAAAAAAAATCCGCGTGGTGATGGAACTGCATTACGAGGCCTGGGGTGCGGCCTCACCGGTAACCACTGCCGGGAATGCACTCCCTCACCAGAGAAGGATTGGCCACCCTGGTGCAGTATCTGGCCACTACCTCCCAGATGCATACATCGAATAACTCACGGCCCTCATTCCCCAGCAGCTGCGAAGCAACTGACCACGGCGGCGGTCAGATTTGCAACGCAGCAGAGGGTGCTAAGAATCTCTAGATCCGGACAGGCCACCAGTGGAACCTGAACTTGGCAACGTTTAACGCTAGAACCTTATTTAGTGAGGGCAGTCTAGCTGTACTACTCGAAGAGCCAGAGGGTGTTAAATGGGATATAATAGGGCTCAGTGAGGTTAGGAGGACAGATGAGGCCTATACGGTGCTACAAAACAGGCACGTCCTTTGCTATAGGGGCTTGGCTGACAGAAGAGAACTGGAAGTGGGGTTCCTAATTCACAGAAACATAGCTGGCAACATAGAGGAATACTATAGCATTAACGAAAGGGTGGTAGGTATCGTAATTAAACTAAACAAAAGATACAAGATTAAGGTGGTACAGGCTTACGCACCTACATCTAGCCATGATGACGCTTCAGTTGAAAGCTTCTATGAAGACGTGGAATCGGCAATGAGTAAGGTAAAAACACAGTATACTATAATAATGAGAGACCACAATGCAAAGGTAGGGAAGAAGCAGGCTGGAGACCAGGTAGTAGGAGATTATGGCATCTATACTAGAAACGCCAGAGGAGAGCTACTAGTAGAATTCGCAGAACGCAATAATTTACGGATTTTGAATACCTTCTACCAAAAACGAAGAAACCGCAAGTGGACATGGAGGAGCCCTAATTGTAAAAATAAGAACGAAATAGACCTTATAATGAGTGTACACCCAGGCATCATGCAGGATGTGGAAGTGGTTGGCAAGGTACAATGCAGTGACCACAGAATTCGGTCTAGAATTCGTCTAGACTTGAAGAAGGAACGACAGAAACTGATACGCAAGAAGCCAATCAATGAGCTAGCACTGAGAGGGAAAGTACAGGAATTCAGAGTCTCGCTTCAGAACAGGTACTCTGCTCTTAGTGAGGAAACCAACCTTAGTATAGATACAAAAAATGATAATCTGACGAGTATCATTACGGAGTGTGCAGTGAAAGTTGGAGGCAGGGTAGTTAGACAGGACACTGGCAAGCTTTCCAGGAAACGAATAATCTCATTAAGAAGCATCAAATCATGAAAGTCTCATGTACAACAGACAAAATAAAACTGGCATAGCTTTCGAAGTTGATTAATAGGCGTAAGGTGTCCGATGTAAGAAGGTACAGTCAAACCTCATTGTATCGAACACGGATATATCGAATTATTGCCTACATCTAACGGTTCCTATATCACGCGGGAAATCGCATGCATTATTGATTTTTTTTTTTATTTTGAACAAAATTTGACATATAATGGATATATCGAACTCAGCCACCCCAAACCGCCCGCGCTCCATTGACAGGCGGCGAACTTTCCCGCAACTCTCGAAAGTAGCGGTAGAGTGGCGGGCGTTTACGAATACTGCACACATCGATGGCGCCGAGAGCGCCACTTTAACGTAGCGGCATACGCGCGCCGCAGCCTTGTGGTAGAGGTTCTTGAATGAGGAAAGTGAAAAGCGCGGAGCTGTTATATATTAGAGGTTTTTAGTTTGACGTTTTTACGCTCCGCTTAGCAGCTAAGCGGAGCGGGAACGCGAGTGCGCATGCGCCCTCCGCTAAGGCCTTAAGCGGGTTACCGGAGCGGGGAATACGTTCCGCTTACGAGCAGCCTAAGCGGAGCGCGGTGCGTCGCTGCCGTTTTTGCAAGCGAAAGGGGGACAACGCGCGCGCCCTCTCTCGTGCGTGCAACAACTTTGCTCATTTCAAGATAGGCTGCCTCCGGAGATGGCACGTTTTCCGCGAGTGCTGCAGCTTGGCTGTCACCTGCCCAGCGCAAGCCGCGAAAACGCTTTCGCATCGATGAAGATTTATGCCTCTTGAAAGAAGTGGTGTGTACTGACCCATTCAGCAATCCCGCCGCGTGGGAGGACGTGCTTCGAAACGTCATGAGAGCGATAAATCGCGAGCTGACCATTCGCGGCATCAAAGAGCGAGTGGACCTCCTCATCGGATATTTTCGACAGCAGGACACAGTGAACCTGAGGAAGTGAGTGCTTCCTTACTTTATTAGTAAACGCTGTTCAAGTGCTGTAGATGAAGCAGTCGCATCGTAACGTGCTTGATTGCTCCGTAGGTCCGGCACCGAAGAACAATATGGAGAGCGGGAGCAGCTGCTTCAGGACGTATCGGACCTCATGAGGGAGGTCGATTATGCCCCGAGAACCGTGCCGCGGAAGGCAAACGGCATGGGACTGTCGAAAAAAACGGCGTGGGGCCACGACAGCCCACTCAACAACTAGCATCGTCCAAGGCGCGCAGAGCCCAGGCTCTGCTAATTAGGGACGCTGCAATGGCATCTTTACCCGCTGTCCGGGCCTCAGACGACGGACAGAAAAATGGCAAGTAATCTGGAGTGGAGGGTAACAGCAACCCACCCCTAAACTAGTACTATGAAAACTGTGAAGTGTTCATCTTGGCGATATCTGTATCGGGAGTGACGGCATATATTTCAATGGCAGTGTTCACAGAATGAATTGTTGTGACACAGTAGTCAGACAGGTTACCTAGCTGGACAGTTTGCACTATAAATATTACATTATTCAGTAATATGCTGGCCACTGTGCCTGTTCATTATATGGCATTGATCATCAGGCAGTCAATATACTACATTCCCACGTTGTGGATGTGATGTACTTAATCGGCACTCAGTGAGAAATGACTGAATTTAAAAATAATCTAATGCTTTGTTTCAGCTTGCTGAATGTTTCTCATAACTGCAGTGAACATATTTGTGAATTAAGCTCATTAACTGGGAAAACAAATATCTATTTTGACAGATATAGGGAAGAAAGGTAGTTTTTATTCTGTGTGAAGGTCCTATAGTATTACTAATGACATTCTCATTCATGTGCCTCGTTTTCTATGTGCAGATGAGGCAACAGCAACAAATATGCTGTTGGCAATCTATGAGGATGAGCTCAGTCAGCAGGCGACAGAACCACAACCAGCCCAGCTGGAGAGGTGCCGGCTGCTGCACCAGGCGTGCCGGCTGCTGCACCAGGTATGTGCAAAGTACATTAGACGTAAAATATATCTTTATTTACTTATTCACAACGTGTACAACAAGGCACATTAAACAAATGTTCGTAGGCAAAAAACACATGAGAAGCAAGTGCACCCTTACTACTATGCAAATGTATGTTCTTTAATACTACTACTAGCAGAAATTCGCACATGAAAGTGTTTATGCACGATGCTGCAAGGCAAGTTGCACCGTGTAATCATTGTGCAAAATACTACAAAACATAAATTAAAAGGTGATATACACAATGCCTTAGCTAATATGCTCAGTGCCTAACTTCTGATGATCATTCATGCCCTTGTAGCACAGGATACCTTGGAAACAGATACAATAGAGGACAGCGACGCTGACCAGGAGGCTCAAGGGCCCCTTCGTGCGCCGGAACGGCGGCGTTGCAGACAGTCTGCTGTTCCGACAGGTATTGCAAATCAGACTTGCATGATTTTTCAAGTTGCACCAGATGATGCATAGCTCTCATTGCATTGAAATAACATTCATGCGCTACATGTGATTCGTTTGCTTGTTTTTTCAATGCTAATTCAAGGCTTGGCATTCATCATACCCGAATGTGATAAGATGGCGCTGATCCCAGAGTAAATTAGTTATGAGCTGTAACACTTTAGAAGTACGTCATTTGTGTTCTACTTCATTTTATAGGAATCAGAGGCCTCCAGGCCCTTGGACTGCAGCTGCTTCTGAAAAGGGAAGAGAATGAGTTCCTTCTCCGGCAGAAGGAAATGGAGCTAGAACACCGACGGCTGGACCTCGAGGAACGTCGTGCGACAATAGCAGAAAGAAAACTATTATTGGAGGAAGAGCGCTCGAAAATGGAGGCTCAGCGCCAGAATTCTAGTGAAATTATCCAGGAAATAAGCAACAAGATTGATCAATTACAAAAAAAAAATTACTAGCCTACACAAATAAAAAAACTGTGTCGAAGGAATCCGCTCAGTTCTTTGGTCTCAAATATTCTTCCAGCTGAGGAGGTTCAACTTGAAAGTATTGAGATACCTGTGAGCTATACATACAAGTGTGGCAATTAGCAAGTATTGTGCCAACTTTGTACATGCGTGACACGTTCTGCCGTTTGAGTCTCTGATTTTTACGAAAATCCAGAAAAGCAAACAAGCCTGCAATCTTTCCGAAACCCCATTCGACTGCTTGTCTAACGGAACTCATTCTCTTGTTGAATGCCCGCTGCTGCACAGTCACGTTCCCGCCATAAGGTTTCAGCAGCAGAGGTCGCAGTGGATAGGCAGGGTCACCATACAAACAAAAGCTGTGGCCTTTGGCAAGCTTCTCTAGCTTGCGATAGGTGTTGCTCTTTCGAAGGATACCTGGAAATACAGGAGGACATGAAAACATATTGCCACATGATATGCGACACTGAATGCTTCATAAAATTCTTGCCACTTCCCCATAAATTTACACAAATGTTAAGTGGACTCTGTAGTGTGCACTTTTTAGATGCACTCTTTCCAAATAAAAAAAAAAGAAAAAGCTTTGATGTCTATCCAAGTAGGAAGGTTTCTTCACAGTGCTATGCAGTAAAACACATTTATAATGCATTTATAAATAGAACCTGCATGGCATTACCTGTGACGAGTTATGACTGAAGACTTGTTGCAGAGTAACAAAGAAAACTTGGCCACAGCATTATAATGGTAACTGGGGCATGCATTTATCATTTTAGCTTGCACCTTATTCTCGAAATAAACAGTTCACATTTTTTTCAGGTTCTCTTTGCAACACCATTAAATTTGAATAATATGCTGCTTTCTACTGTAACCACAATTAGTTGTCCCAGACTGAGTGTACTTCACAACATTAGTACGAAGTGATAGCTTGTTTGCTGAAGCAGCACAGAGCACTCCCTCAGATAGGCGCGATGATGCTTTTTTTTTTTGAAGTTGGACAAATAGGACGGGGCTCAGTATAACAAAAATAACTTGCCTGCGTCATGCCGGCTGCCGACGTACGGACCGTTCAGTTGGCAAATGATTCCATTAGGACACATAATGGACTGATATTTAAGGGCGTGAAAGCGCTTATGCCCTGAAAAGAACCGCTTCTGGTCCTTCGATGGACGGCAAATGGCTCGCGCTGTCCCGTCGATGAAGCCCCAACAGTTATGCAACGGCGCCCCTTTGGAATGCACAGCCTGCGATAAAATGTTATTTTAGATTAGAAGTAACAAAACAAATTAACAAACTTCATACCTCGGAAAAGAGTCGGAGTTTAGCGATGTCCAGCCAGGTGTGGTTATTCACATCTCGCAGCAGATGTCCAAACGTGCTGTCAATGTGCGCGAGCACTGCATTAGTGGCTGAAGAAATCACTGAATAATGCCGCCCGAACAGCGGCTCCAGTTCTCGCAGCCTATTGGGATAAGCCAAACGCCGTAGCGTAAGGCAGAGTGCCTCAACTCCGGAAACGTGCACGCCCTGCGGCGTTGTCACATTTTCAGGCACTTGTAGTGCACGGCACAGGCTTCGCACATCATCTCTTTCAAACCTAAAATACGTGCGAAATTGTCCTCTGTCCATGCTCTCGATGTTCAAGAGGCCATGTCGTGACAGCGGGTCTCGCCGAGTGTATTGGAAGACTTCGAGGCACAACAAGTCCTCGATTTCGGACCACTTTAAAAGACCCATCAAAAATGGGTCCTCTAGCACACTCGTCGGAGGCATCAATGGTTATGCAAACACAGTTTCAACGGTGAAAAATGAAAACGCCGCCACCACACACGCGTCAAAAGCGCAAACAACACACAGTGATTGCTTGCAATGGATCTGGAACGGAACCATGTTGGCTTTTGAGTGGCTACTATCAAGTCAGAGCTTGCTTCTTTGTCAAAAAAAATAGACGGTTAATACATTGAAAGTGGATTTTAAATACTTCATCAAAAGATCATTTATACGTTATTGTTTTGCTTTGTATACGTGAAAAAAAAATGTTTTTTATTTTGTTTAGCGACGATGAAAACGACCAGAGGGCGCTGCAACTGCGAAAGGCACGCTTCGCTGCCGGCAACGAATAACTAAAAGAGAAAATTCAGCCACCGCTTCACTGCGGCTTCGCGGGTGCTCCCGGAGCGGAGCGGACCACAAAAACGTCAAACTAAAAACCTCTAATAGAGGTTTTTAGTTTGACGTTTTCTTCTAAAGTGTTACAGCTCATAACTAATTTACTCTGAGATCAGCGCCATCTTATCACATTCGGGTATGATGAATGCCAAGCCTTGAATTAGCATTGAAAAAACAAGCAAACGAATCACATGTAGCGCATGAATGTTATTTCAATGCAATGAGAGCTATGCATCATCTGGTGCAACTTGAAAAATCATGCAAGTCTGATTTGCAATACCTGTCGGAACAGCAGACTGTCTGCAACGCCGCCGTTCCGGCGCACGAAGGGGCCCTTGAGCCTCCTGGTCAGCGTCGCTGTCCTCTATTGTATCTGTTTCCAAGGTATCCTGTGCTACAAGGGCATGAATGATCATCAGAAGTTAGGCACTGAGCATATTAGCTAAGGCATTGTGTATATCACTTTTTAATTTATGTTTTGTAGTATTTTGCACAATGATTACACGGTGCAACTTGCCTTGCAGCATCGTGCATAAACACTTTCATGTGCGAATTTCTGCTAGTAGTAGTATTAGAGAACATACATTTGCATAGTAGTAAGGGTGCACTTGCTTCTCATGTGTTTTTTGCCTACGAACATTTGTTTAATGTGCCTTGTTGTACACGTTGTGAATAAGTAAATAAAGATATATTTTACGTCTAATGTACTTTGCACATACCTGGTGCAGCAGCCGGCACGCCTGGTGCAGCAGCCGGCACCTCTCCAGCTGGGCTGGTTGTGGTTCTGTCGCCTGCTGACTGAGCTCATCCTCATAGATTGCCAACAGCATATTTGTTGCTGTTGCCTCATCTGCACATAGAAAACGAGGCACATGAATGAGAATGTCATTAGTAATACTATAGGACCTTCACACAGAATAAAAACTACCTTTCTTCCCTATATCTGTCAAAATAGATATTTGTTTTCCCAGTTAATGAGCTTAATTCACAAATATGTTCACTGCAGTTATGAGAAACATTCAGCAAGCTGAAACAAAGCATTAGATTATTTTTAAATTCAGTCATTTCTCACTGAGTGCCGATTAAGTACATCACATCCACAACGTGGGAATGTAGTATATTGACTGCCTGAGGATCAATGCCATATAATGAACAGGCACAGTGGCCAGCATATTACTGAATAATGTAATATTTATAGTGCAAACTGTCCAGCTAGGTAACCTGTCTGACTACTGTGTCACAACAATTCATTCTGTGAACACTGCCATTGAAATATATGCCGTCACTCCCGATACAGATATCGCCAAGATGAACACTTCACAGTTTTCATAGTACAAGTTTAGGGGTGGGTTGCTGTTACCCTCCACTCCAGATTACTTGCCATTTTTCTGTCCGTCGTCTGAGGCCCGGACAGCGGGTAAAGATGCCATTGCAGCGTCCCTAATTAGCAGAGCCTGGGCTCTGCGCGCCTTGGACGATGCTAGTTGTTGAGTGGGCTGTCGTGGCCCCACGCCGTTTTTTTTTCGACAGTCCCATGCCGTTTGCCTTCCGCGGCACGGTTCTCGGGGCATAATCGACCTCCCTCATGAGGTCCGATACGTCCTGAAGCAGCTGCTCCCGCTCTCCATATTGTTCTTCGGTGCCGGACCTACGGAGCAATCAAGCACGTTACGATGCGACTGCTTCATCTACAGCACTTGAACAGCGTTTACTAATAAAGTAAGGAAGCACTCACTTCCTCAGGTTCACTGTGTCCTGCTGTCGAAAATATCCGATGAGGAGCTCCACTCGCTCTTTGATGCCGCGAATGGTCAGCTCGCGATTTATCGCTCTCATGACGTTTCGAAGCACGTCCTCCCACGCGGCGGGATTGCTGAATGGGTCAGTACACACCACTTCTTTCAAGAGGCATAAATCTTCATCGATGCGAAAGCGTTTTCGCGGCTTGCGCTGGGCAGGTGACAGCCAAGCTGCAGCACTCGCGGAAAACGTGCCATCTCCGGAGGCAGCCATCTTGAAATGAGCAAAGTTGTTGCACGCACGAGAGAGGGCGCGCGCGTTGTCCCCCTTTCGCTTGCAAAAACGGCAGCGACGCACCGCGCTCCGCTTAGGCTGCTCGTAAGCGGAACGTATTCCCCGCTCCGGTAACCCGCTTAAGGCCTTAGCGGAGGGCGCATGCGCACTCGCGTTCCCGCTCCGCTTAGCTGCTAAGCGGAGCGTAAAAATGTCAAACTAAAAACCTCTATTTTCTTTCAATACGAAGGTACCGACACGGCTTTGCGCGGGGGAAGGGAGACTAGGAGGCAAAGTTTGAGAAGGAAAGTATAGGAAGGAAAGGACGCAGACGACTGTCTCGGACGCGGCCCGCGCTGCTGCCGGGAAAGGGAAAGCAGTCAGGCGAGCCTAAGGCCCCTGTATTTTTCAAAGGTAGCGCGAACCATTGTACAAAAAGCGGAGGAGAATTTCCTCCCCGCCCTCTACGTCTCTCCTCACTCAGGCGCGCGTTTCTGCAACCCTATTGGACCAGGCGCGAAACGTGACCAATGAACCTTGTTGACCCCTCGGCTCCGCCGGGCAGCGACGCCATGAGTGAGCGCACTGCATCTCGCTCCCACGTGTGTTGCCTTTAGCAAGGCGCCCTCGGATGCAGCGCAATGCCGACCTGCTGTGCCGTTGGCTGCTCCAGCAGCATTGCAAAAGGCGATAAGCTTTTTGTGGTTCCACGAGAGAAAAATAATGAGGAGTGGAGAGCGGTATGGCTGCATCGCATTGGCAGGAAAAACTTCGATTGTCACCGAGGGAGGCTTTGCGAGGTAAGCACTCACTACAGAACTTCTTCGCGTAGACATGCCTCCGGAAGGCTTGCAGATAAAGCTCATCCTTGGTTCAGGTTCATGTTAAACAAAAGCAGCTTGAAGTTTCCGTCGACGCTTTCCTCGCACGATTTCAACCACGATGACAGCTGATGACAGTAATTATGTTGTGGCCGTATTCGAATATCGCTGCAGTAACAGCGATATTCGAATACGGCCACAACATAATTACTGTTGAATGTTTGGCGTTCACGATTTGCTTTCTAAATGGAACCATTTGCCCATTTGCAGCGGTAGCAATTATGCTTCTCCAGAGATCAACCACGTCTTTGATCGTTTTTCCTTTTTTTCTTTTCGCTCGAACTTTGATTACCTGTAGGCGAAATTTCGGCGTTTATTGTTTTATTGTGGTTTATTGTGTTCTCAGTTTGTATTCTTTCATATTTATCTTACTTTTGCGCACTTCCATGACCGAATTTTGTGCATGCGTGTACAGCTAATATAAGAGAGTGTATGGTAAATATATTGTTTTATAGTTGTTTATTTTTGAAATGCGTAGATACTTTCGTTCAAATTTCGAACATACTTGCGAAGTTGTAGACTTTCGATTAACAAAGAGAAAGGCACCTACTAAATGCAGGAAAATCATCTGGCTTTTGTGGCTGTTTGCATTTTTAACGTAAGAAGCAAAATATTTTGCTTCGGCAATATCACATCAGCCAAACTGCAAAAATGCGATGGAGGATGTCGTTATTTTTCAGAAACACTTCACGATGGATCAGTATGAGCCAGCAATTCTGGCACAAACTGGGATCAAAAACTCAAGCCAAATGCGGTTCCTTCTATATTTGCGCATCGGCCTCTTCCGAAAGAGCGCAAGCCACCCCGCAAAAGGGGGAATGAAACGGTTCCTGGTGAGGCCCCTTTGTAGTTTCTATTCCTCTCATGTTGTGAATGCGATTAAGTTTAGGGCTTTATATGACAATGCAGTGTGTTTGGATCGCTGGCAGATAGCATAGTTGCTGCATTTATCTTTATAACCTGTGAACCTAATTAATTCGGCATCCAATTCTGTCTTACTGTGGCAGCAAACATCCCCACCTCTACAGTGTACTTGCTCATCAACTCTTGCTTACAGCTGTATCCTTGGATGAGTTAGAAACGTCAGTGGGGAAGGCCCCGGACGCTGAAACAGTGGGCAGTTTATTTTGTGAGTTGACTGCGCTGTGATGACAAATGTTCGCGCCTTTAGACTGTGTACTTACGCAATTCATGCTTACAGCTGCCTCCTCGGACAACACAGAAACGTCAATAGACCGCGACCCTGAACCAGTGGGCAGCCCATTTTGTGAGTTAACTGCACTGTGATGGCAAATCTTCACGCCTCTAGCCTCTGTATTTACAATTCATGCATCAAATCAGAGGCTATCTCTGATCAGAAGCATCAAATCAGAGGCTATCCGATTTGATAGCGAAATTGTTTCGCCCTGTCGTCGCTTTACTGGAATGTTTTGCAGCGTTCGTGATCTTTCGATGCTTTCCGCATTTTATTTGCGCACTCAATAAAATCTACCTTCATCCCACTAAACGTTTGTGGTATTTTATGGATGAATCGTTTACACACGTCCCATTATGGAAGCAGGCATGCATGTCCTAAATTTCAGTAGGGCTCTGTTGTTCCTGTACAAACTCGAGCTCTAAGAGCACTCATATTAACTTTTCAACGTAAGGCCCCTAGGGGCCTTACTTCAACGCGCCGCGCGACAAAACGAAACCGTCCGGCGGCGCGCTCTGCGTGAGCAGCTTCTTCATGGCGGCTGAGAGTGGCGGGCAAGGAGGAAACGGCGCGGGGAAGGGAGTTTG